TGATTCCTAATTGGACATAACTGGTGGAGACTTTCAACAAACATCTTTGGTTTTCCATGTCATCTTCTGAAATTACCCAGCTGTGAAGTGGGTCCCTAACACTCTGGAGCTGTAATGATGATGCAGGATACTTGTGCAAAGCATTCAGATAAGACTATGACAGAACTGCAGAAATGTCTATTGGGGGATTAATGATACTGTGTTCAGTGCAAGGTTTTGATACTTTGCATAAAACAAATCCAGAGGCCATGCTGAATTAGAAAGCTATAAAATATTATTGAATAACTGTGTGTTAACCAAATGAGCCCCAGGCTCTTTGGTCTCCAAAGAAATAATAATTGATCACAAAAGTAATGATGAGACAGTCAGATTATGATTGCAAGCGAGCCATAGTGGCATGTTGTAATTCCTGGTGTATTTCTTTGGAGAGGCAATGTAATTAAGAAAGTATGTTGGATTGAGAGGTCATTGCAGGGTGGTTTCTATTCAAAACTAAATGTTATATTTTCGTTTGTGTTAGCTGCACTTACTCAGTCTAGCGGCCTAGCAGCAAAGTTTGTCATCCACTGTCACATCCCACAGTGGGGCTCAGACAAGTGCGAAGAGCAGCTTGAAGAGACTATAAAGAACTGCTTAACAGCCGCAGAAGACAAGAAGTTGAAGTCCGTGGCTTTCCCCCCGTTTCCCAGTGGCAGGTACGACTCTTTCTGCACGGGGTGGCAATGGTATCATTAGCTGTCAGAGAGCTGCTGCTGTGACAGAGGTGCCCTCCGTTCTGTGCCATGAAAGGGGCTGATCCTGCCTTCAGAGAGGGCTGTGGCAGGTGCCATCTGACATTTAATCTGAGATTAAAGGAGCCTGAAGTGCTGTGCTTGCATGGAATGACCACAAAGCCTTTATGTAGATAAATTAGCTCAGCTACAGGAAAGCTGAGTGGACTTGCTGTGTTTTTTCTATTGCTAGGCAGTAATATTCATTCTTCTACTATGGGCCTGCACCACCTCATTTTTTATATCTCTTCATTTTGCTGTGGGGAACTTTATTAAAGCTACATTCATACTAATAAGATTATACCAGCCTAATGCTGAAGGCAAGTAACAGTGACACAACCTGAGCTAGGTAAATGTGGGGTGTTCACTTAAGTCATCTCAAGAATATATATTAAACAGACTAATCACACAAACTGTTTTCTTTCAAAAGAAGATGTTTCACAAATATAGTTCTGCTTTTAAAAGGGAACTATGAAACCAACTGTGAAATTACACATTTCTTTCTCAATAACTAGCAAATAAAATATACTTGACTAAGAAATCCAAAGTATTTATATTTTTTTTGAATTTTTTTTTTCTTTTTTGAACCAACAGTTTGTTAATCTTGCTTGGTCTGTGATCGCAAGAAACCTTACACAAGCCCTTCTAACTGCAGAAATCGTTCTTTTGTGTTGCTTTTGCATGCTTATGTTTAATTTGAAATGTAACGACTAATTTTTTTAGTAATGCCCAGAGAGTAGAGTACATTGTACAGTCCAGTTGTGTTGGCCTGGTAAATGAAAAGTAAAACTGTGTTTTGATCAGTAAAATCACCACGTGCCACTGAATACACAGGAAGTGAAAATGCCACTCATCCACTTTTCAAGATAAAATAATATTTTTATGGATCAGGACAAAAGAATAAATAGAGGAGCAGTGCAATTTTTAATTATTTTTTCTTCCTTTTTTGTTTATAGTGTACAGTCACAGCAAAATATGATACATTTTTTTACCACTCTTTAATAATAAAGTTCAGCTTTTGAAAATGAACCATAGCTTTTAATGCCAATAGAAATAGTCTCTATAGACCTCATATCTTCTATGAGCGTTATCTAAGAAAAACCCAATCTCAGAGCATTAGTCTTAGTGCAGATCCTTCTGCTGCTTAGTTCCATTTCACTCTCTGCTGCTTTTACTCTGTTTCCTGTTAGCAGGAGTAATTGTAAGTCTTACCAGGTGCTGCTGGTTTACACGTTATTTATCAAAGGACCTCAAAGTCGTCTGGAAGAAGGCAGAGTTTTCCAAATAAGACTTAATGGCTTTGCTGCCATTTTATCCCAACTGCACAAGAGATGCTGGTTTTGTTGGGTAGATCAGGAGTTACGCTGCATCGGTTCTGTGAATTTTCATTTTTCCTGTGTCCCATCTTAGGGACTGTTTACAGTAATTGGTATAACGTAGCAAGGGATATCTCAGTTGTGCCAGGGCTTTTCACCTCTGTGGTCTTTTCATTAAAAAGCAGAGAAATGCAGTTTAGATGAATTTGCTTGTGCTGTGATGCAGATATAAATGAACTTGAAAACATTTTCAAAATGTCCTTATCAATAGCTTGCTGTGAGAAAGGTGTATTAGAAGGGTTGCTGCAGATGCTGCCAGGACTAGAAGTAGGAAAAACTGTTTGCTAATAATCATTTGGATTACAGTGAATAAGGATACAGTTGTTGCTGATGTCTAGTTTCCAAGTTCTTTTTTGGATGTTTTTTTATATAAATATGATAAGTAGTCTGAAATCACTAGCATGAAATTGAGTAAGAAGTGAATAGTACTAAACTTAGAAAGAGAATAAAAACAAATGCACTTCACAGTGCTGTCAGAGGAGGAAAAATATAAAACGCTGCAAAAGCAGCTCTGGATGCTATTAGAAGAAATACTGTAATTTCTCAAGTGTAAGGCACTGGGATGGCTTATCTGTGTATTCTGATGTAGCCCCATCACTGAAGATCTTTTAAGGATAAGTTAGACAAGCTATTTTCAGAAGCAGACAATTTCAATGTAATCCTGCCTCAGAGGAAGGACATGGGTTGGGTTGTTCTGCCCAGGGGTTTTTTTTGGCATGGATCTAACTTCCTCTGGAGCATTATCATGCAGTAGAATCTAAGTAGGAGTCATTAAACTCAAGAGCAGCCAGCAGTTATGCCCAAAGACCCGTCTGAAATCTCAGCTGGGTCTTAACTCACCTTCAGACAATTCAGTATGTCCCAGTAAAGGCTCATCCAAACTCTTCAAGGTAGGTGATTTCCTACATGCTGGTGTCGCAAACGCTGCCTCAGCACTCTTCAGTTTTGTGCAGAATCAGCAGAACTATTCCAAGCACTGTCAGGCAGCGGAGGAACTCCAGCAGAGAATTCAAGAGTGTTCCTCCCTCCAGATGTCAGTGGCAGACACACACACGTATGGCTTCAGGAAGGGCTGCTTTCTAGGTCAGGGAATCTGTTTAGTGTTAGACAATGTGGAGACTGTCCCAAGCATGAGCATAGTGCAAGGCAGAGTATTTCATTAGATAGGCATCAAGTTCAAGCTGTAGAACAGTTCTTGAAATTACGCCCAGTATCACAGCAGCCGTATTTTTATATAAACAGAGATGCAAAGCAGCTCTTCACTGTAGCTGTGCTCTTTGGGATGTGCTCTCAGCCAGTTCCCTTGTAGCGAGGAGATGAGGGCAGAGGAACTGCGCTGCAGCTGCATGGTTGTAGGACTTGAAAAAGGTGTGTCAGAATGATTAAGATGGAAAAAATGCTGCTGCCAAGAAACTTGAATCTCAAAGATGTGAGCCAGGTGCCCCAAGAGATGTCAACACAGTTGAAAATTCATTTACTGTAAAGACTGGTAACTTTTAGCTTTTCAGATTGTAGGTTAGAGAATGCTACCATCAAAATGAATGAATGAATGAGTGAATGCGTTTCGGCCTTAATTGGGCTTGGGGTTGTAATTTCAATTATTTTCACTGAAGTTTCAAGCGAAGTATTTGTAATGACAGAGTGAGGAAGTCAGCTAAGTAGTTGATCCAGTTTTGGTTTGTTTGGGGGGGGGGGGTTTCTTTCAGTTTTCAACCAAAAAAATAATCTTCTCTCGAACTTTTTAGCCTGCCCAGCATGACATGGAAAAGTTTAATTCTAAGGGAGAGCATTAAAAACTATGTGCGGTTATAAAAAAAATAGAAGCAAATGAAAACTGTAACTATGTCAGCAAGGAAACCAATACAGCAGCAGATGAATATTGCTATCAAAACCGTGGGGTTTGCTTCTGGGATTTACACATTGCAAAGCTGCAACTGGCACTGTCTTAACAGCAGCCTGTAGTTGGTACAGCTATGGCTTCTTCCTTTCAGCATCACGTGAGCATATGCTTGCACAGGTGGCTGACACTCACTTGTTCTGTTTTCTTCCCCTACCACATAGAAACTGCTTCCCAAAACAGACGGCAGCCCAGGTGACTCTAAGAGCTATTTCCACCCATTTTGACGGCTCCAGCTCTTCGTCCTTGAAGAACATTTACTTTCTGCTCTTCGACAGTGAAAGTATTGGCATCTATGTGCAAGAAATGGCCAAGCTAGACACTAAGTAGCAATGGCAGCCAAATGAAACTTTATTTTTCAACAAACTTGAGTAGCATTAAAAGCATTAGAGGTGGGTTTTATTTTTTCAATGTGGTGAGGAGGGGGAGTGGTAGTAGTGCGATGTGTTGTGACTTGATGAAGAGCTGTGACTAGAGATGAGAGGGGTTTAGTCTGATTTCTTCATGCTATCAGCATCCTCTAGCCATTTATATCACCTTAAGCAATTGAGTTACCATCTCTTTTCAGGAGTTTGTTTATTGTCCCTTGTTACTTTAGTTTAGAAGTTTTTAAAGAGTAACCTCATTTTAGATTTGTAGTGATAAATTTTTCACACACACACACACACTTTAAAGAAAGCTCTTAAAAATGTTCAGCTCCCTTTTCCCCTCCCTTGAGGGTAGACGGTAAACTTCTGCCTCCAGCTCACAGAGAGAGGAAAAGGATTTTAGAAGTGATGCATGAGGAGCTTCTGTTTTGCTTTTAACTCATAATAATCTCTGTAATTACTGAGAATATTTCATGGTGATTTTGTTTGTTTTATAAGAAAAAATGAAAAAGATGTGTCAAGTGTGGTTATTGTTATAAATCCTACTTTTGCTCTGGGAATTTCTCACCTATAAAGAGGAAGGAAAAAAGCAGCAGCACCTGTAATGAAGTGCTTGCTGTATCACACTTAGCACACAACTAACCAGCTCTTGTGGCTGAAGTACAGTGCTGTAAGTGACATAATTAAAGCTGCTGTGGAGATGCCACAAAGCTGCATTATATTCTGTCGAGTTCCAGGATTACCATAGCCTTTTCAAGGGTTTTGGCAAGCTTTCCCCAGGCAGTGCTCTGAGCCATTCTTCCTGCACGCTGCAGAGCAGATTCCAGATCTGTAAGAGGCAGGTACTTTGTAGAACAGCAAGAGTAGAGAAAGCCGGAGAAAAACCACATAACAAACAAACCACAGAGATTTTGAAAACCACAGTGTTTATTGTTACAAGTCAAGGTAAACCAAATTTCTTGCTCAGAGCTATCTCAACAGGGAAGTAAAAGAAACATTCCTTCCCCTTTTTTTTATCATTTGCAAAGCGCCTCCTTCCCCTTCACAGCAAGGCAGGGCACCCCTTTAGTGCAGCGTGCTGGCAGGTGCCTTTAGGAGTGCTGCAGGAGACAGTATCAGTCTGTCCAAGCAATAAGAGCCCACCCTCGCCCCCTCCCAGTTGCTGTATTCTTGCTGGTTTGTTACTGATCCTCTCTTAAGAGGGCATTGTCTGTCCCATTGTCTTCCAGCTCTTGGAGACAAACAGGTCCCGGCTCTTAGCAATGGTCACCAAGAGACGTCCCACGTAGTAACCGTTCACCTGGCCTACGCCATCGTTCCTGCCCATTGAGAGCAGGAATGTTAGTGACCCTGGAAAGAAGATGTAAAGGCTTCAGTTAAGCAGTTTCGAAGCTAAGTATCAGACCCTACTATGTGTAGGTGTTGCACTTCCTCCAAACTTCCCCTTCCTACCCCCAGCCCGCCTCATACCCACACGTACTGCTAAGCACAGGGCCCGTGTGCTGCATGACAAGAAAAGAAGCAGGCCCAAGGAGAACTCCTCACAGCTCTCTACCATCTGCTCTGCCTCTTTTGGTAATGAGATTGCTGAAGGACCGGGCTGTCTGTGTGTGTGGTGTAGAATGATTTCTCCCGAGAGGGACTCCAAGAGGTAGACAACAAAATTTTAAGTAGAAAGAAGTGTAAATAGACAGGGCAGCCATTAAAAACCAAACTGCTGTCCAGATATCCTCCATCCATGTGGAACAGCTTTCAACATAGTTACGGTAAGTATTCAGTTTAGCTGCGTATTAATGGGACCCAGCACCTAGCTGGATTTCTGAGACTAGATTGTTCAGTTTGTGTTTGTTGTATAGTGTAAGGGGAGAAAAGAGGAGAAAGTCAAGTTATCTCCTTGTTCCTAGGATTCAATGGGACAGTAAGCAATTTAAAGAAAAGGAAACACGTCTGATGAATACCAGACAGCCGCGAGTAGATTTATCAGGAAAACATTAGAGAAGAAAGGACACATTGCATCCGTAGACTGACAGAGGCAATTAATATTTTGGCAAGAGCTATGATGAAGCCTGAGCTATACACTTTTCTAGTCAACACCAATTGTGAGTTCCTGCACCTCTAATCAGTGTCCCATCAAGTTCTGATGTGTACACGTTAAACAGTTCCCTGCAGAGCAACAGCCAAGGCCAGGTGCTAGGAGAATACCTTACCTGGTTCGTAGGTTTTAAGAGGCTTATGTGTCAGGCTGTTGATGATATTTGTCACAGCGACGTTGGCGTGGAGCCCGGCGTGGTAGGCCATCTTGGGTTCCTTCACATCTGCACAGTCCCCAATGGCATAGATGTTCTCATAGCCTTCCAGCTGGAGGTGCTTGTTCACTTTCAGAGCACCGTTACTTGCCATTTTGTCCCCTGTTTTGCCAAACGGGAAGTTTTCAGAAGGAGATTCGTATTGCTTGCTGTTGACCTGAGACTCCAACATGCTGATGATGTTATCAAACATGTAACTGACACAAAGCAAGAAGCTGGTTTTTCACCCTCTTTTCTACATGTTAGGGAAGAGATGCTTTCTGCCTTGCTGTAGTTAATTATTGCAGGCTCATGCAACGAGTCATCCTTCGATATTTCAGTAGAAACATCAAGGAACATCGTGAGCTGGTGTACACAGCCTGAGAAGGAGACTATAATGGTAATACAGCTCCACAGTTGTTGTGTCATAACTGACATTGAGCTGTGAGAGAACTCAGCCTGAAGACGTATCACTGGATAAACAAGCAGCTAGGTTAACATTAGTTATGTTAAACTCCCTCTGTCGCTGATAGTCCAGTAAGAACGCCGAACGTGCTGAGCCTATTGCTCAGAACTCAGCAAGCTTAGATCTAGGATGAAATCCTGGCCTTGACAGCACCAGTTACCATCAGCTTCTAGGTGTCACCTGCCTCGTGCTGAACTAGGACACTAAGATTCCCTGGAGGTATTAGCAGAAGGAGCTGGAGAAGACTGTTGGCCATTTGATCTATGGTCTGCAAGCTTCCGAAGGTCACATTTCACAGTTCAGTATTTAATGTGATGTTACAGCATTTGCTCTGTCCTAGAATAACCACTGCAGGTTGTATAAGGTTAGTTCCTAACCTCACAGTACTCAAGTACAAGACATTGAAGAACTGTGTTGCTTCTCCCTGCCGAGTTTTTTTGACTTACCAAATGCAGCAGCATATGCTGAAGAGTTAATCTTTATCCCTGTGCACAGGATCACCATGTCAGTGACCACTTCGGTGCCCTTTTCTGTCCTTACTACCGTGTCCTTCTGGAACCGGTTTGGCGTGAGGTTTTGCATGTTGCTGACCCTTTCACCTGTTGTGACAGAGAGCCCTGGGTGACAAACCTTTCCTAGGCTGCCATTTCCAGCCAGCCCAGGCGTATCTAGAGAAACAGGAATCCAAGCGAGCCATGCTTAGTCAGAAAAGTCAGAAAGAGGGCGATAGATACGTTTTGGCTAAAGGAAGAGCAGCTTATAAAGCTTGAGAGTCTAGATCTTCATTAAGGCATCATTAAGTACGTACTTAATAGGAGGCGCACTCCTTTTCTGAGGAGAATCTTTTTCACCTCCTGACGGACGCTATCTAGCAGCTCCGCATCCGCTAGTGCAATTTTTGAGTGAATGAGGATGACCTGTTGGGGACAAAACAGCAAACCAGGGGGACACAGGAATGGGACAGGACTCGCCGCGTGCTGGGCAGGAGCAGCTATCATTAAGCTTCCTTCGACCCTGCTCCATGGCCAAGGGGAGTGAGCCAGTGCAAGGCATCTAGTGCCGATAATTGCTGGTGACAGGCTACAGGGCACTCGGAAGGGGAGGCAGTGGGCGTGAAGGCTGCCGTTGTGTGGGAACTCCTGATGTGCAGTGAGCTCAGATACCTCCAGCAGCACCATCACAGAAGAACAATCTCAGAAACAAGGATGAAGTTAATTGTAACTAATACGCTACTACCTCTTTGGCTGGGTACTCCGTTTTGATCTCTGCAGCCATCTCAACGCCAGCAGCACCACCTCCCACTACCAGGATGCGCTCAGATTTCTCAATCTTGAAGTAAAGAAGAAACTCGTGTTACAAAAGAACTGTTAACATGCAGGAAGTCGGTACCTTCAGCCACTCCTTGAACAGACCTTTCCGAGATACAGCACTGGCCCAAGAGCAATAAACCACTTAGTTCATTAAGGGGAAACAAAACCCCAAGAACCTCATGCGCTCTTCCTGTGTGCACTGTCACACTGATGAGCATTTCAGATGTCCCCTTGTGTGGACAGCTGATCATCCCTGGGGGCAGGCGGAGGCTAGACAAGCTAGCACATGTTCCTTGGCCTGGCCTGTCCCTGGCCTTGGGCTCCCTTGTTCTTAGACACAGATGGCTCCAGATACCTGTAGTGGTGTCTGGGATGGGGAAGCTGAACAAAGGCAGGCAATGCTTCCTGTGAAATAAGTTGATTCCTCACCTCCTTAACCATATCTTCGTAGGCCTGGATGGCACTTTCCATGTCGATGACTTTGTTGAACTTCCCAGGGAATGGCCCATCACTGCCCGTTGCAAGAATGAGATGGGAGTAGTGAAGCTCCTGGGAGGGCAGAGGGTGGAACAGGATGTTAGACCTCTGGAAAACAGAGCCTAGAACGCAGTTGTTGCCTCCTAGGTACTATTCACTCATTCCCTCTCCTCCAGCCCTTGCTGACAACTGAGAAATACTTGCCACTGTCAGAAAGTGACTATAGGAAGAGCCCTGGTCCAGGTGACACCAAGTAACTGCCTTCTGGGTTTGAGAGAAGCACCATTCTTCAGGTGAGCTGAAAGCTTTGAAGAAATTACCATCAGTGTACAGGAAATAAACATATTTATACCAGACACTGAGTCTGGCTCCAGAGACTGACTTCTCTCCTTCACCCTCTTCTGAGCAGAGATGAGATTCTCTGGCTGAAAAGAGTTATCATTGCTGCTGCCCTTGTTTCTTCCTGCAGTTAGATAAGGACCTGAGCTCCAGGGTTAATTGTTGATCTTGAAATCCAGCTCCAAGCATAAAAGCTCATCTGAGCTCTAGAAGGGGTGTTGGTGTTCTCTGCACACCCACACCCTAACAGCTCTAGCCTGCTTAGCTTGGCTAGAAGGGATGCTGCCATTGCATCCTTGGTGCACGCAGAGAAAGATGGACACTGTTGCCACGCTCTTTGGGATGATTAAACACTACAGTCTTCCCCCATGTTGTCTCTTGGATTTAGAGGAGATAGCTGGGGGCTCGCTTTTCTGGGGAGCAGCCCTCCATAGAACTAACCCCTTGGTTTCATTCCTCTCTACCTCCTAGCGTTAACAGGGCCAGTATTAAGCTTGAGCATTTATTTGTGTATCTGCCCACGGGTGGCAGAAAGCTAGAGGAAAGCAGACAGAGACTTCCCCGACGGCTTGGTCAGGGGCTTCAGCCAAGCTGAAGGTTACATCAGAACAGAAACCCCGCTGTGCATGTGAACTCTGAGCCCAGGTGCGTTGGGTGGGTCAGGCTTTGTGTGCTCAGCTGAGATACAGGAGATACGGAGGGGTTTGCCACAACTGAGTGGCATTCCCAGCTCTCATCCAACGAGGGCAAAGGTCCAGTCGGTTTATCCCAGAGCGTGATTCTGTCCTGCACACATCCACCCCCTCCTCTGGGAGATGAGAGTTACGCTCCTCTTCCTGCTCAGAGGCACATTTTCTGTAGGTGCCCTGTGGTCCTGCTCGTCTTGCTCTTTCCCCCCCCCACCCCCCCAGAGGACTCCAAGCACAGACAGCAGTCTGAAACACAAATGCTAAGTCACTTCTCTAACCAGACATCACCAGACAAAGCCAACACTGCCTGGATTTGGAGCACTGCATTCTCACAATCATGATATGGCTGAAGAAAAACCCTAAGGAGGAGAGATTGGCCAGACACCTGCTGAAGGCTCCCTCCTCACATTGCCAGGTGATCCCATAAGGCAGCCAAGTTGCTCACTGCAAGTTACTGCATCACTCACCTCACCATCACTGAGCAAGACTTGTTGCCTCTCGGGGTCTATGCTGACAACCTTGCCTTGTCGGAAGCTGTCCCCAAAGGTGACAGAGTAGGAGATGAAAGTCTTCTTGGCAAATCCTGTGGTAAGAGGAGACAACAGGGAAGAGATCTCCCTCTGTGGAGGCTAACAAACCCCTTTTCCCTTCTCCCCTCACGCCATCCCTGCTCAGACAAAAGCACTGTATGCACCTGGGACCACAGGCTGGGCCTCTGCTCTGCCCAGCAATGAGATGCAGGACCTTTGCCTCAGATTTGGTGACAAGATCAGCTCCTCAAGGTGACACCCTTACCTAGATTGCTTTGTCTCTGCTCCCCATGCAGAGTCCCCTGTACTGGTTTGCCAGTAAATACTCCACTGTGGTCCAGGGCATTTCAGGCAGGATGGCAGAGGCTTTTTATCATGTTATCTGCCTCTCAGACCAAGCTTTTTACATCCTTTTGATGCTTGTTTCCAGCCTTGAACGTGAGATTTTCCCCCTGAAGCCAGAGTGACTGGAGTAATGGGGTTAGCACAGTCTCCCAAGTCAGATCCAAGAGAAGCTTGAGCAGCTCACCTGCAGGATTTTATCATCCAGCCTCACTGCTTGACATTTCAAGTGCCAGATACAAAAAAACATTCACTCACCCCTTCCAGCTGCTGCTGGTTTTAGCTTAGTCACCTTCTAAACTCTTGAAATAAAATTTTTTTTTAAAAAAAAAAAAAAAAAAAAAGGACCATCCGAGTAGCCTTTACTCAGTTTTCCCAGCAGATGTGAAATTAGCTTAAAACAGACAGTCTGTGGGTCCTCCCAGAGCCAAGTATTTGTTTTCCAACCGGAAAACATCAGGTTTTTCACCATCGCTGGGGGGAGGAGGCACTTTCACTGTTCCTTTTACCCGCCAGAGTACCTCCGAGCTGCTGCGGGTGCGGGGTGGCAGGGATAAGAGAGCTGACCCCCTGGGACCCACGCAGGGGAGGGCAGCGGAAAGCAGCGAAGCCCTTACCGCTCTCCACGGCGGCACGGAGGGCAGCGACGTTGTGATGGAAAGCATCTCTCCCATCCACCAGCACGAAGGGGATGGCCCAGGACTTGAGCAGGCTGGCAGCCGCCGTGCCTCCGAAACCTGCCCCCACCACCACCACCCGCACGGAATCGTCCACGGACACGCGGGATCCCATCGTGCGTCCCTGCCTGGGCGCTGGGCCCGGTGTCACCCCACCCCGGTGGTGAGATGACAGGCGGCCTCCCCCAACGCAACGCAACACAACGCAACACAACGCAACGCAACACCCACCACCGCGCTCTGTGTGCGCAGCCGCCGCTCCCCGCCTCCGCCCGCAGTGGGGCTAATCCTGTTCGCTGGCTGGGAATCTGGTGGCGGCCGTAAAGCTCCAGGGAGGAGCTGGGTTTGTTAAGGTCTAAGTCCAGGCTGCAGAGCACAGCGCTGCCGGGCAGGGAGGGCAGCGGGGCCGTGCTCCCTGCCAGGGCGCTGCCCAGCTGAGCACCAGACCCAGGACAGAATAAATCCCTTTCCACCCTCCTTACGCTTTGCTGATTAAGGATAACAATTAATCTCAGACGCCACAGTGAAAAGAGTAGGTGTATTTTACTGGGGATAACTAAATAATGTAACAGAGTAATACTGAAAACATGCAGTAAGAAAAGACAGAATAATGCACTTAAAGCAAACAAATAGGAAAATACAGGGTAATGCACCTAATCATTACTACATGATGGGGAGAACAGTGGTTAAGACAGATCCCTCTCCACTTGCATGCGTTACCACCATCCAGACCCACAGTCGCGGGGCAGCCCCGGTTGCAGAAAGGATTTGGGGAACCTTTCCCTGCGAGTGGGAAGTCCACAGGGTGCATCCACCCACAGCTGAGCCTTCCAAAGTCGCTGCGAGTGGATCCAGCCTTACAGACCAAAAACCAGCAAGTCAGAATAACTTTCTGCTGAAAACATCTGGTTTCATCCTCCTGTTGGATTCCACCCAAAGCCTGGCCAGGGCTCGGGGTGCGGGGGGAGACCAAGGGAGTTTCTAACAAGGCCAAACACTTGGGTTCTCAGCCTCGAACAGGCTGAACAAGGGCAGTTGGGTACATTGTCTCAGTGTTTCATCCTCACTGCTGATTACATTCTGTCTAAGCTGCATCTTGCACTAGTGAGCATACATACTTTGTTAATGACTACGTACTAAGCAGTTTCAGCTCAGGGCGTGTCGTTCAGGCTTCAATACTTCAACGCTTTAGCACTTTTGACATCAGCCCAGGTGGTTTGTTATAACCTAGCACAATACCACCATGGTTATAAGTTGTAAAATACACAGGATTCATCTATAGGTCAACTCTGACTTGGGCCCGCTGCCCAAGCCTTAGCACTTCACTTGCGTACATCCTCCACGTGAGGAGGGGACTGTAGGGGTCTTAGAACCCAAGGGCTGTGTTTTAAGGGTGATGATTAAACACCCAGAATTGCCCCAGCTGAGCCTGCTGACCCTGGGGATGGCAGCCGCAGCCTGGCAGCGGGTAGGGATGCAGTGCGAGGCAAGAGGCTCTGCTAATGCTGAGGATGTGCAGTCAGTCCTGCCAAACCCCAGCGTTAAGAAGACATGAGCTCATCTTTAAAAAAAAAAAAAACCAAACAAAACACAACAACACAAAATCAAAAAAGTAGACGGGTTTGTTTTGTTTTGGAAAGTTCACAAACATCAGGCTTTGTCTGTCCACCCTGGCTTGACCTCTGTCAGCTGTGCCTGTTGGTTAAACGCGTGTTGGTTCAGTGCCCCCTTTTGCGGGGCTGGCAGCAGAGGGGTGCCCTACTCCTGGCCTTGCTGGGGGAGTCCACGTTTCACAGCCCTCAGTGGCTATGGCTTGGAGGGGCTGGGTGGGAAACCCACAGAGTGGCCAGGACTGCAGGCTGGGTGAGGAACACAGGCAGAGGACGGCCCTCGCCCTTCACCAGGGGAAACAGCTCCGCTTGGAGAGGCAAGGGAGGACGTACCTGCTCCGGGCGACAGTGGGAAAAGGAGCCCAGCGAGGGCTGTGCAAGAGGGACACAGACAAGCATCACCGTGGGGAGATAGCGGGATGTAAGGAGGAGCAGGGAAGGGCTGAGAAAGGAGGGGAGGCCCCTGGAGAAGGGGAGCAGGGAGCAGAGAAGGAGATTTACAGTGAAAAGGACACGCAGATCGTGTTCTTCTGCAGCACGGAAATTACCCCGAAGACTTTCGGCTCCTGTGGCATTCCAGATAAATATAGCTGCTGTGCACACTGCGGCGTTGTGAGCTGGCGGAGCTGCCCCCGCGCTCCTTCCCGTGATGGTTTGAAGGGTCCCCCTGCTCCTCACCCCCCCTCAGCCAACGCCGGCCCCGTGCCGAACCCCCCTCCAGCAGGGTCCCCAGCAAAAGTCCCCCCCGCCCCGGGGGTGGGAGCCAAGGCAGGGATTCACCTCTGCTCCAGGCAAGCGGGGCCTGGGCTCCGCGCTGCCACCAGAGGGTGCAGCCGGCTCGGCCGTGGGACACGGGACACGGGACACGGGTGTCCAAGGCCAGCGTGTGTGCGCGCCGGACACCCTCCCCGCCGTCCCAGGAAGGGCTCGGGGAGCGGGGGAGAGGGTGACAAGGGGTTGAAAGCAGGGGGGCATTTTTGCTCCGCACGGGGGGACTCTTCAGCCTGGAAGATCGCTGGGAGAGGAGGGATGGAACCGCCGACAGTAAAGCCGGGAGTGGCGGAAGGTCTGTGGTGGGAAAGCCCACGGCCTCAGCGGAGATAAGCCAAGGGCAGGTTTGTGCTTTTTGTTACACAGGACTTGGGTGGAGGATGCTAGAATTTTCAGTTGGGAAAAAATAATTTTGATTAATCTGGGGAAGAGAAATCCTCCAGAGCTGCTAAACACAGAGGCCAGGAAGTCCAGAAGCGATGAATGTCCGGAGGCTGGGAGGCATCCCCAGGGGAACTGCTCCAGGTTTGCTTCCTGCCCTCTCTCCTGGTACCTGCGTGGGCACGGGTCTGTGAGGAGGCTGCTGGAATAGCTTGGTGATGGCCGGCTTTGGGAAAGCACAATTCCGTGCAAAAGTTGGAAAAAACCCAAACCCATCTCCATTTCTAAGGGGGTGAACTCAGCAATCGAAACTTGATTGAAACCCTTCACTTAAATGACGTGGACGGGTTTGCTTCACACCCACTGTGTGTGAATCCATCCCCTTCCAGCAGGGTTGTCCTTACCTGCATAACTCCCCTGGCAATTCATCCCACTGGAGCAAAGCTGGATCAAAGGCCCTGTCCTAGAAGATAGGGATGCTTGGGATTAATCTCCACTTTCCATGTACTACTGCCCTCTCCCCCTTCCCTTGCACCTTTGTGCCCAGGTCTGGCTTTTACAGAGGCAGGTTTTGGCTTTTCATACCAGGCATTTGCATATATTTTATAGCACATACCCACTGCTGGGAGAAATCAGTTACTCCTAGAGTACTCCCCTGTTTTCCCCTATCATGTGATGTTTTCCCATGTGATATATTGCACCAGACCTGCCACAAAGAAAAAGATCCTGCTCCTGCTGTAGGAGCTGCTCACAAGGCAAATATCTTCACCCTGCCTCTGAGACAAAGGCAAAGCTTTCCCAGGCACTGCCAGCGGTGGGTTTGGTTGTCCTTTGCTTGACTTTGATTCAAGACAAAGTCACTGGTGAGGACAGCCCTCCGCAGCATTGCTCCCAGGCCATGAGGGTGATCATCAGGTGAATCAGGTTGTACACCAGAAGATCAGGGTGATCTTTCACAAAATAAAGGTAAAAAAACTTTTGGCTGGTGAGTTGAAGATGCTCCAACTAGCAAGACAAGGTCAGTGGCAAAAAGAGTGCCCAAAGCAAACAGGGTGGGTAAAAGGAGCCTTTATGAAAACCTCACATCCAACTCCAGGCAAACAGGAAGAAACTCTAAATGCTCAAGACTGTGGTCGGAAGGAGCCTTCTGCACGCAGGTGCGCGCTTAGCACTGGCAAATACGCTGTTTTGAGATTTCTCTGTCCGGCTGCAAGCAGGCAGCTGCAGTAAAAGCTGCTCAGCTTCAGAGAGGGCTTTGTCTGCTGCTGGTGATCCATACAGCGGAGGCACGTGGGGAGGCTGGGGGCAGCGATCAGCCTGCTTTGGCTCCTTCCAGGCTGCCTGGCCTTTTCATCGCGCCTGCCCCGCGGCCCGCACGCTCCCGGCGGGGTGGCAGGGCTCTGGTGGGGAGGAGGGGGTGTAGAGAAGGGGCTCTGCGGGATGCTCCTGCCCCACTCTGCAGTTCTGAAACGCCCCGCAGGCAGCGACACAGATACCCATCTCTGTGTCCTCCCCTCCTCAGGTTTGATCCAACACCAGCCAGAGCTAACAGACATCCCTCTGGGTATGATAAATCAAAGGATGGGTACAGCAGTGCTGCGTGGGAAAACCTTAGGATGGCACAAGTGCCCCTGCTCTGCACTCATCTGGACTCCCTATGTAAGCCTGTGCCTCCTTGTCCTGCCCACCACGAGCATCAGGGAGGGTTAGTCTCTTTAACTCTGCCGTAGCCCTCGACAGGCTGGAAGAGTGTTAATATCCCTCCCTTCACTCTGCTCTCTCTCCTGGGTCAGCTTGAAGGCCCCATCCCTCCTGGCCACATCTGAGCTGCTGGAGGGGTCCTCTTTGTCCCCCCACTGACAATGTCTCTGCCGTGAAACCAAAGGAGACTTGTCCCAGCTGCAGCTCTTCCTGGCTGCAGCGCAGGAGGCAAAAACATCCCTCGGAAACACAAAATAAACAGATGATTCGGGACAATAAACGCCATCAAACTCGCTGTGGAGTAATCGCTCCCAAGGAGACTCTGTTCCTGTGCGTCTGGCTAGCAGGTACCTCTGCAAAACCCGATGGTTGTGCTCCTCTGGATCAGCACCCTCCTGCGCCACATTCCCTCTGCCCGCAGACGTCGCCTGCACATCGTCCTGCGACAGCCCCAGCAGCAGCAGCAGCGTCGCTGCAGCCCCCCAGCTGCACGGCTCGAGGCTGCGCTTAGGGAAAGGGTATTTCTGTGTCCTCCAGGGCTGAGGGGAGGGATTGCTCTCTGCTAGATGAACCACATTGCCCGTCCTTGGCACCTGCCTCAGGGCTCCCCATTTTGCCCGGGTGATCTGATCACCCCACACAGCTCGGGGATCTCTGCTGCAGCCGGGGTGAAATCGGGTCAGCCCAGGGTAAAGAATTGCCTGGAAAAACCAATTCAGACCAGTTTCTGGCTGCTTTTAAACATCAACACTGGCTATTTTATACCTTGTAAGTAAAATTTACTTTTAGCAAAAATCAACAAGGTCCCGTTGTATTTATTCTCTCCCCATCAAACATCATTTTTCATTTCCAGTTTTTCAGTGACATCAGCTCGAGAAGCCCAGCTGCTGGCTGCTTCCCATAAACCACAGCACCAAAGTTACCTTATTTTGGTCATCCTGGACCAGCCAGTCACGTGTATTTATAGGCAGCGCCTCTATGTGCCAGCCCATAAACTGGTCACAGATCCCACCTGGAAAAGGGATTCAGGAAAACTCCAAAGGAGAATTACGATGGTCTCTGTGATTCAACTGGTCTTTGTATCCGAAAGAAGAGCTGGGGGGAGCTGGGGGCCCGCTCTGCCCTGGGCTGTGCCACCGCGCTCTCCGTGTTCCCGGGATTGAAGCGGCTCTGTGCCGAGGTGCTCCCCAGCTCCTCTCCCCCTGCACAACACAGCAAGGGCACAGTGAAAAATCTCACTTCCCACCTAACCCGCTGCCACACGTGGGATGAGTTTGCCAAGCTCAGCGTGCTCCGGCAGCCGGGTTCTTCTCACCTATCACCAGGCACCTACAAATGAGGGCCTCGAGAGGGTGCCCCCAGGGCAGGGTTTGGGGGAGCTCATGGCACAGGGTGAGCACGGGCAGAGCCAGGGCTCTCCTTCCCCTTGGAGAAAACCCCTGCTCTAACAGCTCCAGCAACTGCCTTTAGTTTTTGCATGGGACAAATCTTCCTCACCGCTCCAGAGCCAAGCGTGCGGCGGCCATTAGGAATTTTATGGAAATTCCGTTTTGTGGGCATTTGTCCCTCGTTGTGCTGCGATCCACAGGCAGGTGCAAAGAGGAGCTTAATCAGCTTTACCCAGCTTAGCCGGCTGGCTGTAAGGATTGCAAAGACCTCTCTGTCAAGGCTCTGCTCCTGCAGCTGAGGAGTCTGTGGCTCGGCAGTGGGGTGGCACCTTTCTCTTTGCAGGGCAACACAGAGAGAGGTTTTGTGGCATTAATCCTTATGGGGTGGTAGAGAAGCAGAAAGAATGTCAGTGGTTGGGTTTTCCTCAAGAAAAGGAAGGGAGAGGGTTTGGGCAAGATCCTTTGCTCTTGGGGCAGGTTTTGAGAAAGAACAGCTTTTACTCCCAAATTGTGGGGAGTTTTCTCCCCCTGTCCCCCCAGGATTTAATTACAGTGAAAGCACAGCGTATAATAAAACTGTGTCCTTAAAAAAATCAGTCTCATAGACAGGCAGCCTTTGTCCGAAGGTGTAATTACAGGATAAATATGGGATGCAGACCAAGAAATGTGGTCTGGTCAGGCATGCAGTCTCTTAAAAAAACACAACAGAAAACAAGGCTGTCATTTAATGCTGAAATGTCCACGTGTGCTGCAGCCCCCAGTCCCTCGCTGGCCCGCGGGTCTCCCCGCTGACCCGGGGTTGGGGTGATGAGCCATAGCCACGCACCAGCTCCCTCTGGGCACCGCACCGAGCCCCGCACTGGGGCGAAGGGTGAGGGCGGATCTGCCCTCCAGCAGAAGTCGGCGGGGCTGGGTGAGGGTGCACGATTGCTTGGGCGGTGGGTTTCCCTCCAGCCCCGGTGCAGAAATCCCATCTGGTGGTGCTGCGAGGGGACACCGGGGATTAGCTCCTCCGATCCCATTAAATGGAGCTGGAGCGAGCGAGAAGAAGGGGGTGGGGGGTCAGGACAGCTGGTAGAGCAGCCACGACTTCTGGCATTTGGGACAAACCTCATGCCAAGCTGGAAAAAGGCTTTTTTAAGCATTTCTGTGGGCCAGCCTGGCAGCTTGGCCCCATGGCCTGGCAGACATCCACCGTGCCAGCTGCTGGTAGCAGTTTGCCACCTCAGCCATGCGTTAAACAGCACGGTGTCTAAGGCGCCATTTCAGAGACCTCTCTGCCTCAACCACTCTCTTACTTGGTGGGCACCGGCATCTTCTGACTCATCGGCAAACCCAGCAACACCAGTATGGCCCCAGTGAGCCCTGAGTGTCTCCATGAGGGAGGCAGAGAAACAGCAGGGTGTACCTGCCGTCCAAAGTCAAGTCTGGATTAGACTGGTGGAGGGAAGCATTAACCAGAAAGATCCCATTTACAGGGAAACAGTGCATAATTTATGAAAGCTCTCACTGGTGCTACATCATCTCGTGTCACCTGCAATAACCCCAGGAAGGAGAAGCAGGCTTTGGCTGGTGGCCCAGTCCAATGGGACACGTGTCCCCTCGCTGCTCTGGGCCACTTGCAGAAAATGTCTCTCTGGTGACAACAAGCATCACCACAATGCACCCCAATTCCCACCAATGTGTCAGGCTGAGCAGGTGAGCCCGGAGGCAGCGCAGCTGCAGGCACTGGCCCACTCAGGGCAGGTAATAGAAGGGGCAGGAGCAGCCTTGGGTTGGGGAAGCAATGCATGAGAGTGGGGGGGTTCTTTTCTTTGTTTGCTTGGTTTAAGTCAAGCCTGATCCTTTTGGGAGCTGTTTTATTCCAGAAAGCTTGAATCCCTTGAAAAGACGTTGGGTTTCTTTGGCATTGGTGTGGATGGAGGAAGGGTGAGGCTGCAGGTCCTCCCTATTTTTCTCCCCAAATCCATGCCTTTCCTCCTATAGGGAAGGAGTGGGACAAGGGCTGGCAGTGGCTGGGGCAGGGTGATCAGGAGGTGCCCCTCCTGGGGAAACAAACCTCCCCCCAGGCATCGCAGGGAGAATTCAGCTGCTTTAGTCTCAAAAGGAGCCACGTGTCCCTCCCTCATGGCTTCCCAATGCTCTGGAACAGCGTGGGAGTCCCGGCTGTGAGGGTTTAATGGGAGCAATTAGTCCCTGCGGAAATCTGCATGGGTCGGGGGCGCTTTTCTTTCTGTCCTGTGACATTTTTGATGGGAAGCTGGAGGGTGTCCAGGAAGAAATGCTTGTGCTTAGCTAGAAATGACAGGCTGGAGCCAGCTGGGGCCAAGGCCACGCAGGCAGCACAGGTGAGAACGGGCAGTTGTCCCCATCCCCTCTGGCCTCAGCTCAGCCCTGTTCCCCTACCCTCGCCGCTTGCTCTGTAGTCCCTTTATTTGTCTGTGCTTCCCCCTTAGCCCGTGCTTTGTCCAAGCCATGAGGCTCCTCCGTGCAGGGTGGGACAGGAAGGGGCAGGGAACACCAGGCACCCCTCTGGTGTCCCCTTCCCAGCTCTGGCAGCCGAGCAGCTATTTACCCCTCCTGCTGTTTTGCAAACCAACAATTTAAACTTTATTTTGCTTTGCAAAAGCCGACCTGACGGGTACTTTTGCAGTAGGGCAGGAGAGGCGTTTGCCCTGGATCCAGCCGCATTGCCCCTTGTGCTGACCCAGCTCCGTGGACTTTTCCTGGTGTGCAGCCACGGGGTATCCAGCTGACCTCGGCGACCCCGCCACTTTCCCGGCAGGAAGCCTCCAAACAAAACCCGATTCACTCGGCAAACCCCAGCCGCTTAGCGACGCCGAGGGCTGCCTGTGCGACAGGGAGGGGGCTGACGGCTCTCCATCGTCTGCAAGCGAGGAGGGTATCGCCCACACTGCTCACTACAAAGAAAACCCCACTTTTGGACCCTCTCCCCAGCCAGTTGACGTCGAGCACCCTGAATTCACACCTTGAGGCCAGATGCTCCCCGGCGAGCGAGGCGGCCGTGCTCGGAAAACCTCCCCAGCCGGCGCAGGCGGGCGGGCGGCCGCCCAGGGCTCCAGCGTGGCTGCTCCCCGCCGACCGGCCCCGCACTCCTCAATGCTGCCTCTGTTCTCCCTCTTGGGTCAAAAACGCG